AGCAGCCTCCCGAACAACCAAATTCCCTCTCACAGAGCGTGTACGCTCCAAACCCGTGATCATGGTAAGCTAGACTCACAGTCCTCTTCATGTGCGGTTCTGACATCCCGATCAGCAGGCCATGACACCCATCACCCCGCTGGAGCCGGGCGTGGAAATGTTCGAACGAGGAAAGACACAGTCGTTCTTTTCCAATGCTCTAACGGCCCGCTCATCGCTAGAGCGCCCGGTTTCTCACATCAGTGTCGCATACACCGATATCGAGGATGATTCTAGCGAATTCGAGGAGTTCAGTGGCTCATCTGTATGTATATTCTGGCCCTCCAGTATATGCGGCACTGACTTTCCAAAGAGCGACAACAGGCGAAGTCAAACAACGATTTCTACCTTCGAGGAAGTACAGACACCTGCGGAAGAAGTACGACCACAGTTCGCCTACTGGCCAGAACGAAAGTCAGTCGAAGGCCCCAGAGGACCACACCTCTTCCGCGCCTCAGTGTCGTCTAGCGACTTTCCGTTTGACGAGGGCCAAGTAATGCAGATGTCGCCTCTACTGCCAAAGGAAACTCCACTTCGTCTTCCAACCTCCTTCCGAGAGGCCACTCCCGAAACGATTGTCCCCCAGAGAGAGTACAACAATATCGCTCTCGCCGTTGCCCACTTGGACAACGCTGAAGTGCGCGCCTGGACTTCCAAGGACGTTGCTACCTGGATGTATCAGAACGGATTTGAAGACGACGTAATTGACAAGTTCATGGAGCACGACATCTCCGGTGCGGTACTACTGGATCTGCAATTCGACGACCTGAAGGAGTTGGAGATTCAGTCCTTTGGCAAGAGACACCAACTGTGGAATCAGATCGATTCCCTGCGCACTGCCGACGGGCTGATGTCGCCAACTGCCCCAGCAGCCATTCCAACTCCCTTTGAAGACATCGAACGACCATGCACAGAGGCACGAAACAGGTCCAAGAGCAAGGGCCGGAAAGCTAGTCGACGCGATAAGTTGCGAGGGAACCACATGACAGACGACGTTATCACACCTGCGCATTCCGTCTCCATTGTAGCGATCGAACAGCTGCTTCCCAAGCCACACGTGTGCGCAAAGGGTGAACGATGCGCCAAATGGAGGAAGCAACAACGGCAACTTGCCAGACTTCAACAGGAACACGGCTTCCCGATCTCGCCCGAGAAGGGTGGTCACATCTTCATCGCGGGTGATCCAGGCAACCCCCAAACAGCATCCCACGCTGTCGAGAACGTCCACCGCCCGAACTCAGAAGCTACCCCTTCTGTTGTGGTGCCGTCTGTCGTAGCATCGTCCGACGTCCTCGGGCCTGGCCAGCTACCTGATTTCAGTCTTCAAGACCTAGAAAAGTTCGAGCAACGCGACCCGCAAGACAATGTGCGACAGTTCCTCACCCTACAAGGCCAGCAGCAGCCCTTTGTCAGCGCTACTCCCATCGAGGCTCCTCCAACCCCGCCTACAGAATCATACCCACCTCGTCCCTTCTTGGTGATACCACAGCAATCGCACTACCCGCAGGTTTCAGCCTTTTCTGCATCTACATCGGCGCATACAACAAAGTCTTTCGATCCATTCAGTCGCTCACCCTCAACTCCAGCTCTACACCCCCCAGAGTTCATGCCAGCACCTCACTCAAACCTCAAGAGCCTTCCCAAACTGACGATTCCCCCCGCACGCTCAATGTCTGCCCAACCGGCTGGTAACCCACGCCAAGGAGTCCCAGTACAACAGTACCTCGCACCCGACACCGCATTCTCGCCATGTAGGACAGCGTCACCAGGTGGCGTCTACCGGTTCGGCACGCCCTTCTCCGAGATGGACGTTCCTGTGACTGCTGTGCAACAGGAGCCACTTAGTCGCGACACAAGCCAGTCCGTGCCTCCGAACATGCAGTACCAGCCCCAAATCCAAAGAGTTGGATCGCGTCACGACCGAAGACGCCCCTCGTTGCCCATGCCGGCGCTTGCTGAGGATCGCGTGTTCAGCCCAACCGCCCACTCAGACGACGACACCCTGCGCGGAACCATTTTCGACGACTCGGTCAGTACTAGCGACAGCGCTGGCTCGTCGCCGCTCAAGACTACCCAGCCATTCGCCAGCGAAGCTAGTGACACGATTGCGCCTTTGCACAAGGGAGGCTTTGTGTACAAGGGAGTGAACCACCACGGATGGATGAAGAAGCGCCGCACGAAGCTTCTGCGTCACGAATGGCAAGACCACCACTTCCGCCTCCAGGGCACACAGCTAGCTATGCATCCCAATGAGCTGCCGTCTTCATCCGCACTGCAGACGATCGACGTGGACGACTACGCAGTAGCATGCTCATCCATCGCTTCCAACAAGCTCTCTGCTAAGTTCAAGGCTCTGAAGCTCTCCTCGGGCCATCACAAGGAGAAGTCAGCTGCTTCTACTCCTGCCTTTGAGTTCCAGCTTGTGCCTGCCGCACCTGGCAAAGGCGATGTCAAGAAGGTGATGCCCAACGGCAAGGTCCAGCACTTTGCTGTGACTACCAAAGACCAGAGAATTGACTGGATGCGTGAGCTCATGTTGGCTAAGGCCTTGAAGGCTAAGAGCGACGGCTACGAAGTCAATGTCAATGGCGCTAACATGTGATGGCTACACTTACATGGCCATCACACTTTCCTTTACTAGTCTGTTTTTGTTTCTATTGTTTTTGGTCTAGCAAGCGAGCGTATGTTTTGTCTATTCTTGGTTTCTGCGCAATCTCCTCTTCCTCAGTCCGATCATGATCCGCTATTATACCCTTTCCGTTGTTCTTTTTGTTTTGCGCCATCCTGCATGTTACTGTCATTTGTGTCTTCTCCCAATCCCTTGGAGGCAGCATATATTTACTTTCACTACTGCATACATCTAAAGACTTGGAACGCTGAGCGGGGCCGCAAGGTCAGGGAACATTTGGTTATTCTTTGGTTTGAACATGGTAATGTCTTGGTCATTTTGCTCGAGCGTGGAGGTCTTGCAACAATCACTCCTTGAATTGGGTGGTATTTTTTGCTTTGTCTAAAAGCTGTCCTTATGTTGAGATGAAGTGAGATGGATGCAAATGTGGGGCGGGAAGGTGAAGGAACATCTAGGTACTATCCATGAACACGAATGAACGTCATACTACAAACTCTTCCTCCATCCACCCATCGCCGTGCTTCCACGTATAGATACCACTTCATCACCGCCCTCCGAAACATCCATGCTCGTCACTTTCTTTAAAACACTCGGTCTCCGACGTTGTTCTCGTGGGGTCGCCCCGGCGGTGTGCGTTGTTCTCTCCCGGCCGACAGCAGCCCCATTACGAAACCACGTCGGCCCCCGAATACGTCAACCACGAATATAGTCAACGTATCCACATAATACCGCTAATTATGATCCATTACTTATTGTTCTTATTCCAAATTCTTTCCGTTGCTAAAATCAATCTTTAAGGCCCTAAAACACACATTTCGTCTGGCCCGTTCGCTTGGTTTCGCGCATGAACCTCCATCACTCGCATGTGAAACGTCACCCGATATGTGACATGCTAAGCGATAATGTGCGATACGTTCAGCTCAATCGTTCGTTGACAAGGCATGTTGTTGAATGCCTTGGACGGTTAGGTTACCGCAGGCCTGGATCGGGCTGGGAGGTGACAAATGTTTGATATTGCGATACTCATCAAATGACAGATTAAAGTTTTGAGTGTGGAGTTTTGGCAATACGACAGTTCGGCGATAGGGCATCCATTGGAGTCTTGGAGATTTTTGTGTGACTTGGGTGAAACGGGATGATATTGGTTGGAAACGAATATGCGAAATATCGACTTATTGGAAAGCGGGGGAGACTGGGGGAGACTGGAGCTGAAGCCGTACACCACTTCAACCTCATATCTACTTCCATCGCTCCTCCGAGGTTTCATTACTCTCAGCTCAGCTCGTAGGCAAAACAGACGTTCAATCCGCGTCGCACAACCTCCGACTCGCTCCCTCGCCGAGAAGTTTGATAGCACAATCCCCATCTTCTCCACCACCATCGCACAAGTCCATCTCCACGACCAAGCGGCTTAATCTCAGAGCCTCCCTCTCGGTGCTCCTAGGTGAACACAAACGTGTGAATGACATCGGCTACCTGCATAGGTGCGCTTTTTCCAACTAGATGATGCACGTTACAAGGCAAGGTCGCACTGACAGCTGTCAAAATCTCTGGTGCGTCGTGACATGAGCGCGAAGTCATGGTAGTGTCAGTAGTGATGGACCATGGGCGCGGAGATTGTTGTTGTGATGGCGGTAGCTTGAGCGGCTATTTGGAGGGGAGCACGTGTGTTGTGTTGGACGAGGCGATGTTGTACGAACATGCGTATGGATTCGGAGTTCGACTACGTGACCATTGCTCGAAGCTCGGTACGGAAGACCAGATGCATAGTTTGGGGCAGTGTATATGAGCTGATAACGGACGATCAAAGCCACACCGATGTTGTTCAATAAGTGTAACATGAAAGCTTGAACAGAGGAGGGATGATCATACCAGCAGAATCGCAATGTAGTGCAAGCATGGACAAGAATATATTACTAGATACCAAGAAGGAGATCGAGCAAGCTCGTACAGTTTGACTATTACATACATATATAAGAAAATGAATTAACCAGACGTCTGCCACCATGTATGTACAAACTCTCCATGCCACGAACGTGGTCCAAGAGGTGGGAGACCGGTCAAGCTCTGTCCGTGTACTGATGAGGTACGAGAACATGCCTCATGACTGAGACAGTGTTGTGTAGAGCTATCGGTATAATAACACAAGACTCGTCGCGTGGTTGTCCATGGTCATACTGCAAGTGTAGCTGGCGTGTGTATGACTTGCGAATGATCGAGTGTGCGTCGAGTGTTCTGAATCGAAGGTAGGAGATGGTGCAATCGAGCAGCTGATATGGCGGTTGTCGTAGTGCGATGTAAGAGTCGAAGAATCTTCTCATCGTGAAGAGGTTTACTCCTCATCGTCTTCGGCCGCGCCAACTTTGGTGTCCCAAAGGGGCCCACCCTGTGGGTTAGGAGCGGGAGCAGCTTCAGCGTTGCGCCCCCAAACTGGCCTTCTCCCTGCGTCAGGAGCGGGAGCAGCTTCAGCGTCGCGCCCCCAAACTGGCTTTCTCCCTGCGTCAGGAGCGGGAGCAGCTTCAGCATCGCGTCCCCAAACGGGCTTATGCTTCTGTGGGTTGGGAGCGGGAGCAGCTTCAGCGTTGCGTCCCCAAACAGGCTTCGTTCCGGGATACACCCACTTCGGTGGGCCAGGAGCGGGAGCAGCTTCAGCGTCGCGTCCCCAGACGGGCTTATGCTTCTGTGGGTTGGGAGCGGGAGCAGCTTCAGCGTTGCGTCCCCAAACGGGCTTCGTTCCGGGATACACCCACTTCGGTGGGCCAGGAGCGGGTGCTGCTTCAGCGTTGCGACCCCAAACGGGCTTCGTTCCGGGATACACCCACTTCCCAGCTTCAGGAGCGCGTCCCCAGACGGGCTTATGCTTCTGTGGGCTAGGAGCGGGTGCTGCTTCAGCGTTGCGTCCCCAGACGGGCTTATGCGTTGCTTCAGCGGGTGCTGCTTCAGCGTTGCGTCCCCAAACGGGCTTTCTCGTTCCCTCAGCAGCGGGTGCAGCGACGGGAGCGGCTTCAGCATCACGCCCCCAAACGGGCCATCTCGTTCCCTCAGCAGCGGGTGGAGCGACGGGGGCAGGAACTGGCAAGGCGGCACTGTAAACAGTGACCGACAGGATGGCGGAGGCGATGAAGGCGGAGATCTTCATGATGTCGAACTTGGATAGATCGTGTGGTAAAGTATCGTGAAGGTTGGAGAGGATCGACTGTTGATCAGATAGTTGATGCTGATCCTTGAAGGTGCAGACGATGTCGAAAGATATTGGTGCGTGGTGGGAAGAGTACTTAAGTTCGAGAGGGAGATGTAATCACACGAGAGAACCTAACGGAGGCGTTCTTTTTCTCTATTGACCCCTCAGAACATGAATAGGCCACCTTGTTGCTCAATAGACCTTCGGGTCGCCCAAGTCCGATAAGTGAAGGCAAGCCCTCAAAGGGATCACTCTGAATGGAGGTCGGTTAAGCCCCAAAGCAAGGTTATCCAGAGCAAAGAGGTCTTCCAGGCCTTCGCGGGCGCTATGGATTACGGATAACTTGGTCCGAGAAGATTCAAAGCTCGCGGGGAGACGGCGAGCATACGCTTTGCGACAAGTGCAACAAGGGATTACTACGATATTGAAAGCGAGCGAGTTCCGGTGTTGTGATTACCTCTTTTGGGTCTGAATAGCTTCAATAGAAAAAAGAGGCTTGGCACGGCTCGCGTGCACTCGACATCAGCACAATGACGCGCCACGTTATGAAAGATTGATTTTACTGGATCAAAGAACGCCTTCTGGAAGGTTCACGAGTAAACGACTCAGGATTGAGGTATCGGCGTTAAGGAGGCGGCTCAAAGGTGGAGTAGCTTTCATGGAGGTGTGATCGAGCAATATTACGCACATTAGCGCATGTCGAGACTGAAATCATCTTTGAGATCGAGAGAAAGAGACTTCAGGTCCACCAATGATTTTGAATCGATCGCAACCTGCGATCTGTAGGACAATGGGCTCGCCCGGTTGACGTAGGAGGACCATGATGCAAGTGACTCTGCGAGGGCTTCCGAAAGAGCCGTTGTCCTGGGACAGCAGCGATTCGACCAGCCGTAAACGGTAGATACGCTGAGAGGCGGAGAATATAGCATTGTCGGCAAGACAATAACGCAAGTGTTGCTCGCATGCAGGGTGCGCTTGCGGGCGTCTGACGGCATATTTCGATGGAAAAGAAACACCTGCATGAATGCTCCTTGCAGTGCACCATGTGCCACGTGGGAAGGAGACCCCTAGTCTGAATCCTTTGAATCGCGAACGGTTCCTGTTGGGCTTGTGAGTCTATTGGCAACGCAAGACTGATGGGATTACTGTCAGGGGAATCGTCAGCCAGGCTCGATGCGCCCTCTGGATTCGAACGTTTTCACTCCATGTGCTCTTTCAAAGTCGCCGGTTTCAGCTGGTGATATGAATGTGAAGGACTCGAGCGACAGGAACGCGTCGTGGTGTGTGTTGGGTTGTCTGAGCAGCCGCCTGGTCGATAAGGAGCTGATTAAGCTAGCGTCGCACGTGGCACCGCGCCAAAAGTTGCCGCGGGAAATCGTCGCGAATCACTGTGAGACGCCCATGAAAGTATGCATGCAAGAATAGCCAGGTCCACGGCGCCTGCGTTCAGAGCGGTGCTTTCGAGCTTGTCGAGGCGGCCGTCAGCATGGATTTGCTCGTCCTTGCAGGCTGGTAGCGGACGAAGCCGCCGGCACATTACCACCCAAACGTCGGAGAAGCCCTACTACATCACCACGCCAATATTCTATGTCAATGCTGCCCCGCATGTCGGCCACCTGTATACCATGGTCCTCACGGACGTGATAAAGCGGTGGCATGAACTCAAAGGAGAAAAGGCGTTGCTATGCACCGGAACAGATGAACATGGCCTAAAGGTGGTTTACCTGGCAATGTGATAGTATTGCACTAAATCTGTAACAGGTTCAGAGAGCAGCTGCAAAAGCTGGCATTGACCCGAAACTGTTCTGCGATAAGGGTGCCGAGATCTTCAGAGTACGCATGCACGCATAACGAGCCCCCGCCATCGTTACTTACCTGTACGAGGAACTTGCAGCCAAAGCCGAGATCACGAACGATCACTTCGTACGGACGACGGATAGAGAACATAAGGAAGCTGTCGAGTATGCATGGGTACGAGAACTTGAGTTCAGACGGTGGAAAGCCATGTAGCTGATGGCGGACAGTTCCTGCTACAAGAGAAGGGCCTCATATACGAGCAGAAGCATGAGGGATGGTATTCAGTCACCGACGAATGCTTCTACCCACAGTCTGCCGTACAGCCATATCTTGACCCACCTACAGGGAGGAAGATGATGGTAAGATTTTGCTGGGGCGCCACTGTCATTCGATCTGACCAGGCTACAGACATCGATTGAGACTGGTAGTGAAGTAGAGTGGTCTTCAGAAGTCAACTATCACTTCCGGCTCTCGGCATTCCAGGATAAGTTGCTCGAGTTTTTCAAGAACAACCCCGAGTGGATAACCCCGGAGCACCGTATGAAGGAGGTTGTGCAAGCGGTCGAATCAGGATTGGAGGACCTGTCTGTGTCTCGACCGTATGAACGACTAACGTGGGGCATTCGAGTTCCCGGAGACGACTCGCAGACCATCTACGTATGGCTCGACGCGCTTATGAACTATGCGACCAAGGCCGGATACCCATGGACACCGGGCCGCGAACAGGCAGGAGGCTGGCCCGCGGACTGTCATGTCATTGGCAAGGACATTGTGCGATTTCACTGCATTTACTGGCCTGCCTTCCTCATGGCTCTTGGACTTCCACTGCCCAAGAAGATTCTGACACACGCTCACTGGACTCTTGGAGGGTCCAAAATGTCCAAATCTACTGGCAGGGTCGTCGATCCTTTCCACGCCCTTGATCGGTTCGGTCCGGATGTTATGCGCTTTTACATGGCTCGCGAGGGTGGTATACAAGACGATGCGAGCTATGACAATTTCCGCATCATTGGTTTGTACAACAAGTTCCTGAACCAGCAACTCGGCAACCTGGCTTCTCGTGTTACACGAGGCAAGAAATGGAGCGTCCGTGGCGCAGTTGAGCGTGTTGGTGGGTGGCCAGCGGAGGAGTGGGCGGAAGGACCAGGTTCCAAGTTCCGGAATAATTCTCTTGCTACCATCGCCTCGCAAGTAGATGCATCTTTTGATGCCTACGATCCGCGTAAAGCCGTGTCTCAAATCGCAGAGTTTGTCCGAGGGGTAAGTCTAGACACCCTTCTTTCTGCCATCCTACTAACTCGACCAAGTCGAACGCTTTCTTCCAGATGTCGCAACCATGGGACAAGGTCTTGACCTTCGGCCCAGGAGAGCCTGGCGAGGATGTCGACAAGATCATTTATCTTGCTGCTGAAGCACTTCGAATCACCGGTATCCTATTACAGCCATACATGCCGAACAAAGCACGCATGCTACTTGATCAGCTAGGCGTACAGCAAGATCGAAGAACCTTTGAATACTGCAAGCCTGGCGCTGATCTAGACTACGGCACTCCATTGGTAGAGCTGGGTGCAGCGCACAAGGGTGTGTTGTTTCCCCCACTGCCGAGCGAGGGATGAGAGTCAGGTGTGGTGTACTATATGTGTTTGTAGTTGCGAAGCATGGGGAATGAAATAACTCCAGAAGTGAATACAGGTACACTCTCTGAAACTATGGAGCACGTCTTTGCGTCAATGCTTTAGTCGTTCAGGTCTAATCGCTCAAGGGTGCTGTCGCAACGGATTTTCTTAAAAGTACATTTCAACCCTCAAACATTGCTTGACAGGTGAGTTTGGTCAGGAGCTGATCCCGTGTGGCTGGTGCCTAATGCCAAGACTACATCATCGGCGGTCGTCGCGCGAACTTTAGATTTCTGAGTGAACATTCCCTACGACAGCACAATCACGAACACCACAACACCTCCACACCTTTCGCCCCTGCAGCTGCATCGGAGCCTCCCAAAATCTTCACATCTTTCTTTAGCGGTTGCGAAAGCACAACACAAAGCAGCGCGCACGCGCCTCCACGCAGGATCAATTCACCATGGCCGCCCCCAAGCCGGGCGGCTTCAAGATGTCGCTCGGGGCACTGAAGACGAAGCCAGGGCTGAAATCTTCCCCCGCACAGAAAGACACCAAAAAGACAAAGCTTTTGCTCGGTGACGACGAACCAGACGATTCGAATACGCAACAAGAGATCACGGGATGGGACGCAGCAGAGGGCGGCGCGGTCGATGCCAACGGGAAAAAAGAGAAGGAGGGACCGCGCATCATTCCAGCTTTACCCAACCGCGATTGGCGAGCAGAGGCACGGCGGAAACAACTTGCGAAAGCACCCCATCAGCAAGCGCAAAATGTCACGGTCGATGAGAGCAAGATGGAGGAGCCGAAGGTGCAATATGGCCTTACGATCATCAAGAAAGACGAAGCGCAAGAAAATGGAGCTGCGGAAGCTGAAGCCGCGGAGCCGATGGAGGTGGAGCAAGACAATCTCACGGAAGAGCAGCGGCTCGAGAAGAAGGCACTCGATGCGCTGATCAGCGGCAAATCCACGGACAACGATCTCGTGATTCCCGTACAATCAGAAGAGGACGCACTCTTGAACGATCTCAACAATGCGCCCGACGCGCCGACCCTCGAAGCATACGAAGCTACCCCGATTGAAGGCTTCGGCGCGGCGCTCCTACGTGGTATGGGTTGGAAGGACGGCGATGCAATAGGCAAGAACGGTCCTGCTGCGAAGCCGAAAGAAGTCAAACGGCGACCAGCGCTGCTTGGCATAGGCGCAAAGGAAGACGCTGCAATAGGCGTTGAGCTAGGGGAATGGGGTGGTGGCAAAGGCAAAGGGAAAAAGGTCGCGCAGAGCTACAACCCCGTTACGCTGCGGAACAAGGTTACCGGTGAGATGATCACAGAAGAGGAGCTAAAGGCCAAACTGGAGGCTCAGAGCTTGATCCCAGACGAGAAGCCGTCAAGAAGTAAGAGCAAATACGACGACGACAGCGAAGACGACGAGCGGAGGCGCGAAAAGCGGAAAGAAAAGCGAGATGACCGCGACCGCGACCGCCGACGCGACGACGACTATGACAGCGAACGGAGGAAAGACAAAGACCGCCGAAGAGACAA